GTCTCTTTTTCTTACTTATTATGAATATGTAAGAATTTTATAAAACATAATGTAACACTGAATGATTTGTGTGGTTTCTAAAAACATCTTAAATGGAGAACAATTCTCCAGTATTTATCAATTAATTAATTCATTCATTTAACAAGTACTTATTTGGTATCTACCTTTTAGCTACTAAGGAAAGAACAATAAATGTAATAGACAAGGGCTCTGGGGTGTATAATTGGGAAGCTGTAGCTTAATAAGAGAAACAGATTTTAAAATATAATTATACAAATAAACATATACTCACTATCATGGAAGTCCTATTGTGGAAAAGCACAGGATCCCATGAGAACAATTAACAAAGATACCAAATAATAAATCAAGAGTAAGGGTATCTATTAAGGCAACCCCAAAGTAGTAGCATTTATGGTAAGAACTGCTACAATTGAGAAATTGAGAAAAGCCCAATATGACCTTCAATTTCGCTAATCCTTTTTTCTGTTGTATACAATGTGATGTTAATTCATCTAATAAAAATTTAAATTCTGTGATTTCCATTGTCCCACTTTTATACTTTCAGTTATCTTCTGAAACTCCCCATTTCTTCATATACCATATCAATTTTTCCTATGGACTTTATTTGAAACTTTTTATTTGGAAATTATTATAGATTCCCAGAAAGTTGTGAAGATAGAGCAGAGGGGCCCCATGTACTCCCCTACTCAGATTCTCCAACTGATTACATCTTACATAACTATGATATAATATGAAAATCAGGAAAGTGACATTGACATAAAGTGTGTACAGTTCTGTGTAATTTTATTGGATATATAGATTCATGTAACAAGCATTCCAATTAAGTTACAGAACTATTCCATCACTGCAATGATCTCCCTCACACTACTTCTTTATAATCAGTCACAACCATCCACATCCTTCCCCACTATCACTAACTCCTGGCACCCACGAATCTGTTCTTCATCTCTATAATTTTGTTATTTCAAGAGTGTTATATAAATGGAATAATACAGTATTATAACCTTTTAATACTGGCTTTTTTCACTCAATCTAATGCCCTTGAGAGACATCCAAGTTTTTGTGTGTATCAATAGCTCATTTCTTTTTTATTGGACTAGTACTCCATAGTATGAATATACCACAGTTTGTTTAACCATTCATCTATTGTAGGATATTTTGGCTGTTTCCAGTTTTGGGCTATTTCTTATGAACTTTTAAATACATTAATTATAGTTATTTATACAAATTATCTTTTAGGCCGACATTTGAGACTTTTACTGCTCTGTTTCTATTGACAAATGTTTTTCTCTTAATAATGATCACATTTTCCTGTTTCTTCTCATGTCTAGTAATATTTTACTATATATTAGATATTTTGAATGATGCACCATAGAGACTCTAGATTCTGCTATCTCCCCCAAAGAATGTTGAGTTCGGTTTGGTAGGCAGTTATATGACTAACATATCACCCAGAATATGTGGAGAATTGGTTTTATGTGTCATTAGGGTGAGCCTGTTTTAGGTTTTCCCTTAACCCAAGGGGAATCCCTTATTCTTGTGACTTATCCTTTACTCTTAAGGTATAAGCCTCTTGAGATTTTTATGGAAAACCTAATGTGCTTACTACCCCCACACTCCCCAACAGGCTGGACTCAAACTCCAAACACTGACTTTTATATGGTGGACAGTAACTAAAATTTCAGTTCATTTTTCTTTCCCCCAGCTTCTAGCTATTTTTTCTTTCTGCACTCCTTGGTATTTAACCTGTACATTTGTAGTTCAGGGATCAAGCTGGGGATGTTTACACTCAGGTGTCGAGTTTCTGCTATGGCTCACTTCTGAAATTTCCAGGAACTCTGGAAGAATCAAACTCCATGATCTGACTCCTCAGGCCAATAAAATGTCAGTTTCTACAGAAGTTTTGCCGCCCCACATTCGTCAGCCTGGGGCATGGTTTCAGGGGAAAAGCTGTATAAACATGGATTTCACACAGTGTGGTTCCTTTCTTTTGAAGGTTGATTCTCTTTTATCTTTTGCTTGTTTTGTTACTCTCCCATGTCTTAAAGCAGATTTCTAAACATGTGCTCACAGTTTATTATTTGTATCAACAGGAGGATGAGTCTGATAAAAAGTATTCTGCCCTGTTTCAATATGATTTGTTTTTGAATTTTGTCATAATTATGTCTATTTTTCTGTGGAAACACTCCAGCCCCTTTCCAGCTCCCCATTCATCTCACTGAGAGCCACCTCCATCCAGCAATAAGATCCTCCACATTTACTATCCTTCAACTTGTCCATATGACCTGATTCTTCCTGGACTCCAGACAAGAACCTGGGTACCAAAGAGGCACTGAGCTGGTTAACACTTAAGCTATCTGCAGATGGCAGAGCTAAAGGAGCACTGTAACACACCTACTGGGGCTTCAGGAATTGCAGGCACCCACTTCTAGATGCTACCATGGGGCCAGAACCCAAAAGTGCTGGCCCTGGCTCCCACACCTGTCCGTCTTCATGCTCCCCCTCCCATAGGGTTCGAGTGCGTGGCAGCCCAACAGATGAGCGGATCAGGGAACTCTCCTGTTTCAATGTAATTACTCTCCCCAGAGAACGTTGCTTTTTAGCAACTGAAGGGCCCTGCTTTCTTCATTATACTTTCCTAAATTCTACTTATCTTTGAGTATCCATTCAGTTCATGCCTTCTGAATTTTCCGAGCACTGAACCTATTCCACCTCCTTTGGGTAGGGTTTTCCCTCGTGACTTATCAATTAACACACATTCCAAGATGTGCAGAGGATGAACTAGTATGTTTGAAAGGCAACTGAGATGAGGATGGGAATAGAAAAGAGGTGGCCTCCCAAAATACTTTTAAAGCTGGTATGGTTACAAGCAGACATTGGGAAGCTGCTTCTTTTCCGTTATACAACTCAAACTAACTGTGTCCTGTCTCATTTTATAATCACTTCATATGAGTATAATATTCTTATCACAACAAGATCAGAAGATTCTTGAGGGCAAATATCTTGTCTACTTCTGTTCCCATAGCACTGAACATAGTGCCTCACACAAAGATAGAAGTTTATTTGATGTGTTCCTTTGCATTTTAACCACTTGGCTGAATCTCTAAGTTTTCTTTGCTAATTTTTCAAACAGTGTTTGTCCAAACTTTCGTCATAGTAAAGAGAATGAAGATACACCCTGAAAATTTATAATTTGGCCTAAGCTTAATTATCCAACCACATTTCACACTATTCTGCTTTCTCCCTCACTAACTCTGCTCTTGCTCTACTGGTCTTCTCTCAGTATTTAAACACACAGGAATTCCTGCTTCAGAGCCTGTGCACTTGCTATTTCGTTTACCTAGAATGGACATGGCATGGTTAGCTGTTTCTCGTCACATAGGTCTCAGATCAAATGGTCATTCCACAGAGAGGTCTTACCAAAGTATCCTGCTCCCTTAAATCTGACCCAAATACTCTCTTGTTCAGTACTCTGTTTTCCTTTTTTATATTATTATTATTTTAAGACAGAGTCTCACTCTGTCACCCAGACTGGGTGCAGTGGCGCAGTCTCTATTCACTGCAACATTTGCCTTCCGGGTTTAAGCAATCCTCCCGTCTCAGCCTCCCAAGTAGCTGGGACTACAGGCAAACACCAAAATGCCTGGCTAATTTTTATATTTTTTGTAGAGACAAGGTTTTGCCATGTTGCCCAGGCTGGTCTCAAACTCCTAGGCTCCAGTGATCTACCTGCCTCAGCCCCCCAAAGTGCTGGGATTACAGATATGAGTCACTGTTTTACTTTCTTTTTAGCACTTACTGGTAACTAAAAGTATCCTCTTACTATTTGTTTGTGTTTATTGCCTATCTTCTCATGTTAGAACCTAAGGTCCATGAGGGTAAGGAATTTTGTCTCATTCACATCAGTGTCCCAAATGCCTAGATCAGTGCCTAAATGAACAGTTGTCACCCTGTGTGCTATCTTGAAAACAATTTGAGATAGATACACATGTCAATGTCCTTAACGGTAAATTGATTTCAGTGAAAAATGGCTCAGAGGTAGAGGCTACAGAGATGTTTTTAAAGAATAAACAGGGCCGGGCACAGTGGCTCACACCTGTAATTCCAGCCCTTTGAGAGGCTGAGGCGGGAGGATCACGGGGTCAGATCGAAATCATCCTGGCTAACACGGTGAAACCCCGTCTCTACTAAAAAAATACAAAAAGTTAGCCAGGCGTGGCGGCGGGCGCCTGTAGTCCCAGCTCTCAGGAGGCTGAGGCAGGAGAATGGCGTGAACCCAGGAGGCGGAGCTTGCAGTTAGCCGAGATCATGCCACTGCACTCCAGGCTGGGCAACAGAGCAAGACTCCATCTCAAAAAAAAAAAAAGAATAAACCGATCATTCGTTTAAATTTAATTCCATCCAATGAGATCACAGGTTAGAAGATGTACCAATGAGAAAAACTCAGTTCTTACAACAACTCTGTGAGATAGACATACTATAATAATCTCCATTTTATGGATGAGGACACTGAGAGAAAAGGCTAGATAAAGACTTAAGTAGGTTGATTTGGCTGAAGTTGTAAAGCCAGTAGGTGACTAAACTGGGAATGAAAACCAGGCAGTTTGATTTCAGTCTGTGGTTATGGCCACTGTGCCTCATCTGCATTTAGGAGTGCAAAGTGTATTCACTTCAGTTCTCTCATGTATTTACCACGCAAATCTAGCATGATTACTTTACACATGCTTTTACAAATGGTTTAGAATAAACAATAATGGACTTGGGATTGAGTTCCAGGGTATATTACTAATCAATATAACCCACAATCTAACTTCTTCATTCCTTAATCCCTGAATATGTAAAATGAAGGCTTGGTTGAGTCTTATTAAAGATAAACTAATATTTTATTAATTGTTTTGAAGTTATAAGAGCCCTGGACATCATGATGCTGATAAATTTAACAAGAATATTATTAGGAATATTTAATATCTTACCTGGACTTTATTCATCTCCAATTTGTTCTTCTCATTGGCACTCTGGTCTTGTTTGCTAGCTCCCTTTTTCTGAGGGCCTTTCCCAAAGAAGATGTAATTTACAAAGGCATACTCCAGCAGAGCCAGGAACACAAACACAAAGCAACCCATCAGATAAATATCAATCGCTTTGACATAAGGGATCTTTGGCAAGGTCTCCCTGAGGTGGGTGCTGATGGTTGTCATTGTAAGCACTGTGGTGATTCCTGTGAAAGAGAAAGACAACGCTTAGCTAAAGGCACCACTATTAAGTTCCTTTTTCAAGATTGAGAGGACAGATGCCATTTGCCATTTCCTTATTCATGCCCCTGAGTGATCACAGTAGCATGATAAACCACTGGGCAAAAAGGGCAGATATTTTGAAAGACAAGGCATTAGCCTCCCTACATAGTCCATTAATGAATCATAAAATAGAATGTGTAGTTAATGAAGGGTTGAAAACATGTTTTTTAATTGCACAAAATAAAAACAAAAGCAGACGGAAAAGCAGATCAAAATCCCATTGAAATCCTACTATTGAATGTCACTCACTTTATTACGTGACCACATTTTTCTTCTTCCTTTTCTCAGCATCTCATTCATTGTGCTCCTAAATTTGTCTTTGTGATACTAATCCCTATAGCATCCTCTACCAAATTGAAAGCTGCTGACCAGTTTGAGATCTACTTCATTCCATGAATCAACAGGACACCCAAATTACAAGGTCAGTATTGCATTTTAAAATAATTATGTGTAATTCATAGCAAAACATCACCAAAAGAGGAAACATGAGAAATGTCATAATTTGTATCAAGTGCTTGATTTATGTATATTTTACATTTACTATTATCTTGTTACTTTGATATTTCAAATATTATCTATTTTCTTGGTTCCAGAACCTAGCATGAATTAGTTCCGTGATGTCAGAAAACAACTTCTTAAAAGTTTGAACTTGGATTTGTTAAAGAAGTTTAAGACTATAAGCTCATAAAGGACAGATTGTGTTTTATTTACTTTATTAAATATAGCATTCTTAATAGTATAACGTTTGCTTAGCTGTATAACATATTTTGTGGTGATGATGGTGATGATGAAGTGATAACTGTGAAAAGCAAGAAGTGAAAAAGAAGTCAGAATCTCGTGTAGATATTTGTTCTGCATACTAATATTATACATTTGTATAGTGTTGTACATTTTTAAATAATTACAGTTATAAATTATCCTATATGGCTGTCATAACAGCCTGAAAATGATAAGAAGTGTATATTATTCTCATTTTATAACTGGGTGAACAGAAAATCTGAGATTAGTTATTTTGTTTTAGGCCACCCAGTGAGGGTCAAAAGAGCACAGAAATGTTACACAATAGCATTTAAAATAAGCAATGAGATGAAAAGGTAAAATCGAAAATTTGATAGAGGCTCTTAAAAATAAAGTCAGAAAGTATGGAATAGATAGTAAAGACAAAGGAAAACTTCCAAAGGGAATGGGAGGTAGCAAAATGAAATGAAGGAAAAAATAGTTTCGCATTCATTTGCCAATCAGATTATTCTAGATGCATATTCCCAGATTTGACTATTCAACTTTTAGAATAACAGATAAAGCAGGAGGTCAGGACTGCCAGACAAAAAATTAAAGTGGTTCAGATCAGTAATAAATTCTAATGTGCTGGGCTGATATAAAATGCTATAATGAGTGGTCTTTCTTATTTCTTTAAAAAAATCTTTAAATTTCACCTGATATAACTCTAGCTAATGTGCTTCACAGAAATGAATGAGTCACTTACAAATTCGCCAGTTGCATTTCTGCTTCTACTCCTTGTTTTACATTTTTATACAAAAAGTGTTAGTAAATGAATGCCATTTTAAATTACATGTTTTAAAATATCTCAAGTTTTACAGTCCAAAGAATAGCTTAAATAAGCACCTTTATATACTAACATCTCTAATATCTCTAATTAAAATAGTATTAGCTTTGAGGATAGAAGAGTAAAGAAAACCACAATTCATAAACTTACTAGTTATTATTCTCTGCTGTGGACACCATCCACTGTTTTTTTCTTAAGTGTAGCATATAGACATAACAATACTCATGTTCAAGTAATATATGCAGATACATACGTGTGATACTATTATTTGTTTGCTTTCTTTAATCTTAGGTTGTTCAAAGATTGATAAAGTGCTACAAACAAACACTTGACTCTGTGAGCTTTATGTATTCAGTCATTACAAGTAAGCTGTAGTGATGGCAATTAGTGTAGCTGTGAACAGGTATGCTGATCATCTAGTCCAGCTTAATAGTCTCCGAAATGAAGAGATGAAATATGTTAGCTTAGCCAGAAATGTTATGTGTGTGAGTGTGTGTGTGTGAGAGAGAATTTGCCCCAGAAAGAAATAACTGAAATGGCTGTAGGATCAGACAGTGACACAGACTTGCACATCCCCAGATTCACCAGACAGACCTTACACATCCTAACCTTCCAAGGAATGCTTTAAAGTCTCAAACATAGCCCATCAGCTTTCAGCAATTAATTAACCATGGCAGGATTAGTTCTAAATTTTGTTCCCCCAAGAAGGAAATCATTTTTATTCTGTCTTGACCACAGATTATTAATATAGCTGATGAATTATCTGTGCCTTATTCAAGTGTAATAAACTCCATTTAAAGGAGACTCGGCTTAATACGATTTAATTTTAGTTAGTATCCAAAGGATAGTATTTCTCAGCAATTGACAGCTTGTTGTTAGTCACATGGTTTAGCTTTCTCCAAATTCATTTGAAAATAGTGCATTGTGTATGTTCTTCACTGTTAAAAACAGGGATTAAAGAGGAAGTCATCCCAAAGTTAGTAAAAATTAGCGTAATGAGAATTTAAAAATATATTCCATGAGACACTTAAGTAGTGCTAGATATAGTCCAAGATTTTTGTTTGTTTGTTTTGGTAAAATGCTAAAAAGACAGTACATTGTAGAATATTCATTGTAGACATGCTTACATTTAGAAGTCTTATATTCAGGGACTCTTATGATGATCTAATTCTTCGGCTTGCTATAAGAGAGCCCTTCCCTCTAATTCCTGATATTGGTTATTTGTTTGAAAATAAAACCTGTTAGTTCTCTGCAGTGCTGAGAATGTATTACCTAGTGCGACTCTGGCTGCAGATGCATCATAGTTGATCCAAAAAGACACCCAGGACAGAATTGTAATCAGTGTAGAAGGCATGTAGGTTTGCAAAATGAAGTAACCAATGTTTCTCTTTAGACGAAAACTTAGTGACAGTCGTGGATATGCTCCTGAGTTGAGAAACAAAAGACAAGTAATCAGACCATCATTTGGTTGGAACCATCTTCTTCCTTTCACAGCACCTCTAGTACCTTTTGAGGGAAACAACCTCACCTGTTGTGAACTCCACCTTCTTAGACACCATCTTGTAGTCAACAATTGAAAATTGAGGAAGTTCGATTTTATTAACACCAGTTACTGCCCCCTCGCCTCCATTCCAGTAAAACTCTATGTCATCAGTGGTATAGCCATCTGAAACCAATAAACACAGCACGGTTAAATAAAGTTTAGGAAATCATTTTGAATACCACCTGGGAGCTAGAGGAAAAATTCCCAGCAAAAAGGTGGTAAGGTGGCATTGCTTTAAATTAGGGTGGTATACAGGTCTCATGTGGAGTGCTATTTCTGATGATTTGGTAGTAGCTGCATTGAAAGAATGGGTGCATCTGGCTTTAGTGGACTTAAGCTCTGGATCATTTAGTGATAGTCACCGATGCAATTTATTCTTATTGTATCTACTAATGTTCATTCCTTGGTTAAATTGGGGGATGGCTGAATTCTAGGTACCTGGACATGGCTTTGGCTATGTGCTACTTAACAACAACAATCGCACAGCAAGTAATAATAATTGAGCACATATTTGTTAAAAGGATAACAGGTAGTGCGAAGAGATGAAGTATAATGAAAGACTAAGTTTATATATAGCCATTACATGATTAAGACATTAAAAACTGCATATTTCTTTTAGAAAATTTGGCAAGCTTTTATTCATATCCTTTGATTATAGCTAATATTATTATAGCTAATATATGGGTAAAAGTCTTAGGACTATATAAATTCTTGATAATGCTTTTATATCTTTATACTTATGAGAGTGCACTTTAGTTAATTTAAGGGGAATGTGTAGGGAACTGTAGATTGTAGTAGAAGGGTCTGTCCTCAGGCCTTCAGCATGAAGGCCCTACGCTGATGGCCTAATCTCTTCCTCTTCCCACTCTGCTCCCACTTGGCAGTGTTCTAGCTGGGTTATCATTATGTGTAAGAGTAACTTGCTGAGTTGATGGGTGCAGCACACCAACATGGCACATGTATACATAGGTCACAAACCTGCACGTTGTGCACATGTACCCTAGAACTTAAAGTATATATAAAAAAGAGTAACTTGCATAAAAAGAATGTACGGATATATTTTAAAAATCTAAAAATAATTTAAGGCATATTTTACGACCACATTTTTCTCTACCAGCTAGAGACAAAGAAGATCTTTCTAAATTCATTTTCTATTTAGGTTCACCTCAAATAAAAAAGCATAAAATCTTTTTTCCACTAGAATTGCTGGGGCTAGTGTTTCAAAGGTAACCACATAAGCTCTTTGTAGTGGACATCATGCTGACCTACTTTTGATTAAAGCCAGTAATACCTTTTCAAGAGATAGAAAATAATATATTTGATATTTGGAAGTTGAATGCCAGGTGCCAAAGGGTCACCATCAACTTGTCCTTGCCAGAATGTAAGAAATTTTAAGCTATTCTTCCCCATTCCGCTTCCCGCTTTTAAAAAGGAAAACAAAACTATCTTAATTTTACTGCTTTAAACTGACTTCCAGATATAATCACCAGTGTTTGAAAGACTGAGACCCTCTTTACTATTGGACTTAGAATATTATCTACAGCGGACTAATTGGCATATTGGGGATTTTATCAAGTTTGGATATGATTCTGTAAGATTGATTCTAAATATCTCTTTGAGAATTTGATTAAAACCTGCCAATAAAATCCACAGAAAATATATAGATAGATAGATAGATAGATAGATAGATAGATAGATAGATAGATAGATAGATAGATAGATAGGATTCGATGGCAATTTCAGGACATCATGGATCCCATTCATGGAGTTTAGAATACAAAACTCCTGTCTCAGTTGAAATGGTTAGTGGCAATATGACAGCTTAAATTCAACCCAGACTTCTTCCTTTCCAATTCCAATTCAACCATGAGTTACCTCTCCTAAGCCCAGCAGGAAGTAGTATCTGGGGAATGTGAGTTCTCAGCCCTGCCTGGATCCAGTGGACAATGGCATCATGGGATTTTCTTTCCCCCCTCAGCCACTAGAGAGAACCTAGGGACTGGTGGCATGGAGTCCTTGGGTGGGGATTAGAACAGCAGGATCCAAGAAGATAGCTGGGTGAAGGGGCTGTTGGGCCTATTAAAGAAGGAAGCATATTACCACCTGTGTGATTGTCTGGGGGAACTCATCATCTCAGTCCTTTAAGGGGATGTGGGAAAGTTAAAAAGATGGGTTGAGAAATCACCATACTGTTTTCCATAGATATTGTGCTAATTTACATTGCTACCAACAGAGTATAAACGTTTCCATTTCACAACATCTGTTGTTTTTTGACTTTTTAAAAATGCAATTCGATTTAGCAATCCCACTGCTGGGTATCTACTCAGAGGAAAAGAGGTCATTATATATAAAAGACTGCATTCATATGTTTATCACAACACAATTTACAATTACAAAGACATGGAACCAACCTAAGTGCCCACCGACTGATGAATGCATAAGAAAAACGTGGCATATATATACACCATGGAATACTACTCAACCATAATGACGTGAACCCGGGAGGCGGAGCTTGCGGTGAGTGGAGAGCGCGCCACTGCACTCCAGCCTGGGCGACACAGGGAGACTCAGTCTCAAAAAAAAAAAAATAAATAAATAATAATAATAATAATGTATTTTGCAGCAACTTGGATGGAGCTGTGGAGGCCATTATCCTAGATGAAGTAACTCAGGAACAGAAAACCAAATATTGCATGTTCTCATTTATAAGTGAGAGCCAAGCTATGGGTAGGCAAAGGCATACACAGTGGTGTAAGGAATGTTGAAAGACTCAGAAGTGGGGAGGCTGGGAGGAGGGTAAGGGATTAAAAAAATCACCTATTAGGTACAATGTGCACTATTTGGGTAATGGATACATCAATAACCCAGACTTCACCACTATATAATTCATCCATGTAAGTAAAAACCTCTAAAGTTACTGAAAAAGACAGAGAGAAGAAAAGGCAGGTTGGGTCACTGAATGAGAGACAGAGAGAGAGAGAGAGAGAGAGAGAGAGAGAGAGGAGACTACCTCCTGGTGCATCAGCAGGGGATGACAACTTGGCTGGAGCTCACCATGCTTTCCATCTAGAACTTTGTTCCTTTTAAGGTGACCTGGCAGCTGGGTCCAAACCCCAAAGAATATGCAAGAAAAAATAACAATCCATATAAAAAACCCAGTAGCCCTAGAGAAGGAAAACAAGTGGAAAACTAGATTAGGTATCATCTAGTGAAAAGAACTGAGGAGGAAGCAAATAATAGCTTGAACTCTCCATTCCTCACTCTTGGTAAAAATATAGGAACACTTACAGATATCTGATTACAGCACAGGCAACTTTTTATTCTAAAACTCAAGGTTTTTTTTTTTTTTTTTTTTAAATATACGAAATGTCTTAGATAAATTGAAGAAAAGATGGCCACCGATGAGGCCAGAATTTGTGGCTTGGAAGACAATTTTATACATATTTGGAAAGCATGAAGAAACTCTAAAAATTTTGAACGACTCATCTAGGAGATCTAATATATGAATAGTGGGCATTCCTAAAAGAAGGGCGTTATATAGACAAGGAGCCATAATAAACAAAAAGAAAACAGAAATTCCCCAGAGCTTACTAAATAAATTATTTTTCAGATTGGCAAGCTCACTATATCAGGTCATCCCAATGTCGTTCCTAAACTCCAAGGGTGTAATAATAGTCTTACAATCTTCCAGACAGAAAGTACAAGGTGTTTTCAAAGGAAAAAGTATTGAACTTCTTATACACAACGCTGGAAAGAAAAGATTATAGAATGACATCCACAGAACATCTAGAATATAGGCATAAAGGACAGCAACTCTGAGACCCAAAAGTACTACTCCCTGCCAAAATACACTTCTTTCCAGAGAAGATATACAAAGATTCAGAGGACATATCATTTAGGTACCTGCTTGAGGAAACTTCTACGGAAGACTCTAATCAAACAGATGAATCAGGACAGATAAGAGAATCCACCTTAGAAACAGAGGAACTGTAAAGAATCATGACTCATCAATTCCATGCAAATTAATTTGAAAATGTGGATGAAATGGGTAATTTTCTCAGAAGAAAGCATTTTTTTAAAGACCAAATAGGAGGCACAGAAAATCAAAACAGCTTGATTTCATCCCTACAAACAAACAGATATTTAAGAACTGATAATTCTATTGCTACTTAAACAGCTCCAAAGCATAGGCTAAGAATGAAAATTTCTAAATTATTTTCATAAAGTAAGCAGAACATATTAGCAAACAAAATCCAGCAGTACTTTAAATAATAAAGCATAATCAATATGGTTTATTCTAAGTTTAATATTAGAAAATCTAGTAATATACTTCATTATAATAACAAATCTAAGGAGAAAAAAAACCATATGATTATTTATACAGATACTAAAATGGCATTTGATAACTTTCAACACCATTTCTCTCTTTTAACAAAGCAAACAACATTATTCAATAAATATGAGAAAGAGCCAGGCTCCGTGGCTCTCGCCTGTAATCTCAGCACTTTGGGAGGCTAACGTGGGCGGATCAAGAGGTCAGGAGATGGAGACCATCCTACCTAACATGGTGAAACCTTGTCTCTACTAAAAATACAAAAAATTAGCCGGGCATGGTGGTGGGCGTCTATAGTCCCAGCTACTGGGGAGGCTGAGGCAGGAGAATGGCGTGAACCCAGGAGGCGGAGCTTGCAGTGAGCCGAGATAGCACCACGGCACTCCAGCTGGGGTGACAGAGCGAGACTCCGTCTCAAAAACAAACAAACAAACAAACAAACAAACAAAAATTTAGCAGGGCATGGTGGAGGGCGCTTATAATCCCAGCTACTCGGGAGGCTGAGGCAGGAGAATCACTTATACCCGGCAGGCGGAGGTTGCAGTGAGCGGAGATCATGCCACTGCACTGCACTCCAGTCTGCGTGACAGTGCGAGACTCCGTCTCTCTCTCTCTCTCTCTGTCTCTCTCTCTCTCTCTCTGTCTCTCTCTCTCACTCTCTGTGTGTGTGTGTGTGTGTGTGTGTGTGTGAGAGAGAGAGAGAGAGAGAGAGAGAGAGAGAGAGAAGATATTTCCTTAACATGGGAAGATATCTCTTTCCTGGTCCCAAACCAGCATCATGTTTAGTGTG